ACACCCACTGTGCAAACAGTCCCATTGAGATGCACCTGGTACCTCATCTGGAAATGCGATGATCACTCACCCTCTGTGCTGCTCTTGCTGGGAACTGCACTCCAGAGCTGTTCCTATTCAGCCACCTTCACTCCACTTTTTATTTATTATTATTATTTTTTACTTAAAATCTGTTTTATCTGATGTAAATATATCTAACGCTTGCTTTTGGTTTTTCTTTGTGTGAAGTATTTTTATCCATTCCCTTTACTTTCAGTCTTGACCTAACTATATGCTGCTTAACAAAAAACTTACTTCATATGCTTCTTTACACATGAAGTAAGTTTTTTGTTAAGCAGCATATAGTCAGGTCAAGTTTGTTTTTTTAAAATCCATTCAGCCAATTTATCTCTTTTAAGCAGGGAATTTAATTCATTTTCATTCAAGTTACTATTTATAGGTGAGGACTTATTTCTGTCATTAATTGTTTTCTGGTTATTTTGTATATCATTTTTTCCTTTATTTCTCTTGTGTTGTTTATTATTGAAGTTTGGTGATTTTCTGTAGTGGTAACATTTGAAGTCTTTCTCTGTCTCATTTGTATCTCTGTGACTTTTACACTGCTAGTGAGTTTTATATTTTTGTGTGTTTACATGAATTTAGATATTGTGCTTTTGTTTCCAGATGTAGGACTCCCTTAGCCATCTCTGTTGGACTGTTCTAGTGATGATAAATTCCCTCAGTTTTTGCTTATCTGGGAAAGACTATTTCTCCTTCATTTTTGAAGGATAGCTTTGTTGTTTTCACTGACCTTTTTTTTTTTTTTTAACTTTCAGCACTTTTAATATATCATTCCATTCTCTCCTGGCCTGTAAAGTTTCTGCTAAGAATTTGTGTTAGTCTGATGGGTATTCCCTTTTCTGTGATTTGACACTTTTCCCTTGCTGTTTTTAAGAGTTCTCTCTTTGTCTTTGACTTTCAACAGTTTGACTATAATGTGCATTTTTGAGTTCAGTCTGTCTGAGGTTCTTTGACTTTGTTGTGTCTAGATGTTTTTATCTCTGCAAGACTTGAGAATTTTTCATCTATGATTTTGTTAAATATGTTTTCTGTACCTTTGTCCATCTCTTCTTCTTATGGAATATTACAATTTGAATTATTCGGTCACTTTATGGTGTCCCACATGTCACATAGGGTTTCTATTATTTTTTACTCTTTTTCTTTCTTCCTTTTCTTTTTTTTGTCTGAGTTATTTCAAAAGATTTGTCTTCAAATTCAGAAAGTCTTTCTTCTGCTTAACCTAGCCTATTATTGAAGTTATCAATTGTATTTTTATTTGTTGAATTCTTTCATTCCACTATTTCTGGTTTTGTTTTTCTTTTTTCCAAATGACATCTATCTCTTTGGTGAATTGCTTATTCACATAATGAATTGTTTTTCCGCTTTCTTCATATGATTTATCTGTTTTCTCTGGTATCTCACTGAGCTTCTTTATTATTTTAAATTCTTTTTCATGCATTTCAGTTTTTTTTTTGTTGGAACTTGCTGCTGGAGAATTATTGTGTTTCTCTGAATGTATCATGTTTTGTTGCTTTTCATGTTTCTTTTTTACTTATGTTTATATCTACTCATCTGTTATAACAGTCACCTCTTTTAATTTTTTGGACTGGCTTTCACAGGTAAAGATTTTTTTCCTGCAGATGTATCTATAGTGTTGGTTGGGTAGGGCACTTTAGCTTTTATTCTGGGTAGATGCAGCAGTGTAATCTCTGTATGACTTTTTTTTGTGTGTGTAGACAGCAGGCTACAATTGTTAGTGGAGGCTATCATGAGGCTTTGCTGGGGATGGGGATACCAAATGGACCTGTCCTAAGGCCCTAGTAGTGGTGGAAGTAGGCCAACATGCCTTTCCTTGGGTTCCCAAGTGCAGTTTTAGCTGGTTCTGGGGGGACAATTATTGGACCTTGAGGTTGCTTGTTTGTGTACCAGCAATGACAGGGATGAGTTGGGTGGATGGGCAGGTTCTTAGGCCCCTGGACAGTATGCAATGGCATCAGCAATTGCAGTAGTGGTTGCAGGTCAACCCTTAGGCTTCCAGTCAGCACACATTAGCTTCAATGGTGGCAGCAATGGGCTGAGTGGGCCAGTCCTCCGGCCATTGTGGGATAGTGCAGGTGGATGCTGGTGGTGGTGGCAACATGCTGGGCAGGCCCATCCTCAGGCCCATGGAAGGTATGTGTGTATGTAGTGGTAGTAGGCAGGAAATGACAATCCCCATCTATCTGGACAACATGCTTGGGGACGTGGGGGTTTGAGTAGTACATGTGTGGTGGTCTTGTCCTCCGGCCCCTGATGATGTGCTCAGGCACAGGCTGTGGTGGGCAGGGTGGAGTGATTTCTAGGCCCCTCAGATAGATGCTTGGATGCTGGCAGCAGGCAGTCTGTGCCTGTTATGAGGCCCCTTGATGGTGAAGGCACATATCAGAAGTGGCAGGCAGGGCTGGTTGATCCCCAGACCCCCCAGATGGCACATTCAGGGAGTTGAGGGAGCTGTGTCAGGTAGAACCAGCCTGTCTTCAGGTCACTCAATGGTGCACACAGGAGCAACCTGTGGTGGCTGTTTGGGCATTCTTCAGGCTTCTGTATGACATTGCATGGTTGGATGCTGGCAGTAGGCAGACTGGGCCTGTGTTAGGCCCCCAGATGGTGTTTGCATGTGTCAGATATGACAGGTAAGGCAGGTTGATCCCCAAGGCCCTGAACACTCAGGCACTGTAGGGGGTAGCACAGGGCAGGCTAAGCCTATTGTCAGGTACCCTGATGGTGCACATGGGCCAGGCTGTGGTGGGCAGAGCAAGGCAATCTCTAGGCACCTAGTGGTGGTGGCAGTGAGCAGAGTAAGCCTGTCCTCAGACCACAAGATGGCATTTGGGCAGGTCAGTCCCCAGGCTCACTGCAGGCATGTGCATGTACATGGCAGCCCCACTACTGGGGGTAAGGGAGAGCAGAGTTGCTGTCAGTGGCCATGGCCTCAGGTTCTGGGAGTGCCCAGTTCAGCTCTTTTTGTCCTGGAGGCAGCTTCTCTAGTGCACTATGCTGCCCCTTTTCTTGGGTGTATGACACTGTGGTCTAGAGTGCTAGGAAGCTGGCCACACTGCTGGGTCTAGCGGCATTGTGCCACTGTAGTTCTCCAGGCAGTCTTGGGAGGGTGTCAGTGGGGGTCCATGAATGTGGAGATGCAGGGATTGTTGGGTCCCAGGGCAGGATGCAGTCTGGTTGGGGCTGGGCTCTCAAAATGGCATGGTGCTGCAGCCACTTGGGGTTTTTGTTTGTTGGTTTTTGTTTTTGAGACAAAGTCTCATTCTGTTGTTAAGTCTGGAGTGTAGTGGTGCAATTATGGCTCCCTGCAGCCTCGACCTCCCAGACTCAAGCAATCCTCCCACCTCAGCTTTTCAAATAGCTGGATTACAGGTGCAGACCACCACATCTTATTAATTTTTGTATTTTTTGTAGAGATGGGGTTTCACCATTTGCCCACACTACTCTAAAACTCCTGGGCTCAAGCAATCTGCCCACCTCAGCCTCTCAAAGTGTTGGAATTATAGGGATAAGCCACTGTGCCTGGCCAGCTGCTTGGATTTTGAGGGATATCTGGGACCCAGCACAAACTATCTGTCTTGAACAATGCTGTGATATGGACATTAGGAAGTTCCCTACTCTAGTCTCAGGGCCTGTGAGGGCTGAGGGGCTTTCCTGTGGCTAGCATTGTAGGAGTCCATGGTGAGAATGTGGACCACTGGGAGTCTCTCACTTACCCTTTTGCTGTGTTTCCTGGCTCCCAGCTGATTCTATTCCTTCTATTTCCTTCCATGCCTCAGATGTTCCCTGTTATTTTCCTAATGAATTCCAATGTTCTCTCACAGACACGCTATTTGATGTGTGATTATCTACTTGCTGCTTAGGTCTTTCCTCTAGGAGGAGGTGAGTGCCTGGTACTTCTATCAGCCATCTTGAAGCCACTCCTCTTGTATCAGGTATTTTTAAATGTTGCTGTTTTAACCCTATAATTCTACCTTCAGAAATTTATCATATGGAAATAATCAGAGACAGGACAAAGTATTATAAATGTTTACAAAAAATGAAAATCTGAAATTAATAATCATCGTAAAACTATATGGTAGAATATTTTATAGTTATTAAAATTTATGTTTTTGAAAAATGTTAATGATATTATAAAATGATTATAATTTAATGTCATATACAAATACAAAATTAGACATGATTCTGAATGTAAAAAAGACATGCAAGTAAAATGAACTAACAGTCAACAATGGTAACTGGTATATAAATTTATAGATGGTTTTGGTTTTCTTCTTTACATTTTGCTGCATTTTCCAAGTTTTCTACAGTGTGTGTGTGTGTGTATTTAAAGAGTGAATGGGAAATAAAGATTTAGAGACATATATTATTAATTATTCTTTGGACTATCTTGGCTGTTAAACAGAAGAAAGATGAGAGTTATAGTTAGTGAAAATTTTAAAATAAAAGGAAATTTCCTCTCTTTTCCTGTCTCCCCTTTCCTCTCTTCTCCCCATCTCTTTCTTTTTTAATGATAGGAGAGGTTTCTCTACTTTACAGTAAATAGAAAAGAGGATGAAAATACAGAATCGAAAAATAAATTAAGGAGGAAGGTCCCAGAGGAGACAAGAAGCAGATAAAGAATGCTGCAAAAAGAATTAGCTTGGAATACATTCACTGAATAAGTGAATAAATAAATAAACAGATGAAAAATGCCAATCGGTAAGATGGTTATCTAGCCATCACTGAAAAGGAAAAGGAGAGACGAGTACATTTCTTTTCTGATCAGAGTAACAACATTGGATATAGAGAAATAATTGTTGACTTCATTATTAAATTGATATTGCAAAAACGGTTAATATCTGAACCACACTATTATTCCTAAATACTAATTGTTATAAAAATAGAAAGGAGACACAACAGAATAAATTAATTTGTAACTCTTCTTTTTAGCACAAGATTTAATTAGACTCCATTTACAAAAGTTCATTTCATACCAAGAATGTGACTTGGAGAATGCTGGCACTTATCCAGATGATTCTGGAAGCCAAAACCACACTTACTGTTATGGAAGGTAATCTTTTGGTGGTTGGGGTTCTGAGTTTTCCAGATAATTTGCATAAACTAGAAAACTGTTAAATATGTTACTTTTTAAATAGAGACTGAGGTTTCTTTTTTCCTTTTAAAAAATGACATTCAATGGGCACTTATTCTTGATGTTTTAAAATTGTAATTTATTCACGCAAGATTCCAAAAATAGTTACAGCTCCAAAAATTGCTACTCATTTGATTTGTGCATATAGGCTACTAACCTTTAAAAACGTAGCTAAACGTATATTTGATATTTCATATTTTTTCAATTCCTTCTCCTCTAAAGACTTGAAATTTAAATATAAAATAATTAAAGCTACTTAATTGTAAAAATATTCTATTTACTCATTTATTCATTCAACAAATATTTATTGAGCTTCTGTAATGTGCAAGTTTCACAAAGGTAGATGTCATATTCTTATTCACATACTAATTATTAAGGATAACCCTCATTTAAGTGTACATTTGCAGACTAACAATGAAAAATAAGTAAATCTTTGTAAATTAGTGAATGAGATTGAGAAATAAATGGCTTTATTTGGGAGGTATAGCCAATAGGGCACTGCCTCTGTTGGGTCTCTATGGGGTCCTTTTTCAGCTATGACAGTCATTAAATGAAAGAATCAAAATAAGCCAAATTTGGAAGTAGATTTGTTAATTGCTGTGTTACAGAGTATTAAACTAAGATTTTAAAAAATGGTATGGTATAGTAGAGCAAATTTTTCTAACATGATATCTTAATGACAATTAGGAATATATGTTTAGTAATAGAATAAAGTATTATTATCAAATAAATCTAAAATGTAAAATCTTACCATTTGGATTTTTAATTTTTTGTGTATGCTCTTAATATATGTAATAAATAGGATAGTAATCCATATATAGTCAAATAAATACATGTAAATATTATGTTGGGGAGGTATAATGATGTGGTATAGTTTTAATGAGATGTGTTATCAGTGCCCCTTGAGTGAAACTTCCCCCACAGTGAGCTGATGGAGGCCCATGCCAGTGAAGGTCATGAGGATGGAGAAGGAACACATATCAGAAATATTTAGAAGGTGAAGGGATAGGACTCGTGATATTCCTCTAAAAATGTGCACTGGATCATGTCTATTATCTGCTCCTTATTAAAATTCTTAGCATAAAGACAACAGAGTCCAAACAAGGGTTAAGTTCTCAGGGAAGTCTTCCTTGGTTCCTAGGTAAGCATATGGTCCTCTGTTCCTCTCACAGACTCATGCTCCTTTCTGCAGAGCACTTAATTCCACCTGTAACTTGTACATTCACTGGCAAGATCATTTGAATAGTATTGGTCTCTCACTCTAACCCAAGCTTCAGGAAAGACTAGCAGAAGGCCTGGCACTTAGTAAATGTTACTCGAAAGAGTGAATTAATTAGATGTGAAGAGTGAAGGGGATGAGCCAATATACTCCCATCCTTTTAGCTTGAGCAACTGTACCCATGGTGGTGGCATTTCCCAATATGGGGTTTATGGGAACAGAAGAGGGCTTGAGTTGGGAAAAAAAATGCAATGAGTTCAATTTTGGAAATGTTACATTTAAATAAAAAATCTTTAACATTTTATTTTAGGAACACGTAAATATATAAATAACTATAAATATATATCAACAGAAGACAATCAATTCTAAATCTTGTTAATTACCTTTGTGATTATCAAATAGCTTCATATGCCTAAAATATAGCCTTTCAAAATCAAGCACAATGAATATTATGTGGTGTTTCTTATTTTAAGAACAATTATGTAGAATGAAACTTTATTTTAGTATGTTACTCCACTCAAATAATGAATAGAATTCTTCCTCCTAAATACTGCCAGCAGAAAAAGAAAATTTTTTAAAATGCTTCTTCCCAAAAGATGCCTTTTTAGAAGAAAACACAAAATCCATGTTTCTGCCAAGCAAGATCTTAACATGACACAGCACCCCAAGAGTATGCCTTGAACATCGTGGGACGATTCTGCTCTGGTCCTTACCTGAGAGCTCATACTATGCATTTGTGACTTGTTTCAGATATTTCTGTCTTCTGATCTTGTTTTCTCATCTGCATCCCCACTTTGCTTGATGCCTTTCATCATTCCTGCTATTGACTGTGTTTCTCTTGGTCTTGGACGAAGATACTTTATCCAGCTATATTGCCTTTGGAAAGTAAGGATTATCACACAGGATCAGAACTAAGGAACAGTCAGCCCTGTATCTTGTTTCTCAAAGTATCTCTAAGGGCTTATGGAAGTGTTACAGCTCTCCTCAAGCCTAGTCATCTGAATATTTAATTCGGACTGTCATTTATGAATTTATGTTATACTTGCTTTGGAGAAACATTTTAAAAATGCTTTTTACCTTTACTTGACTTATTCCAAAGCCTGTGCTTGTAGATCCTGTGTTATTAGGAAACTTCTTTGTGCATTATTTTTAGGGTGTAGAGTCCCAGAAGTGACACCAATGGCATCTAAGTTCTTTCTACTTATTGCCAAACTGATTTCCAGTAATAATTATTAGTGACTGAATACTTAAGATATGTTAATGATTTTTAATGCTTTACATGTATTAACATATATATTTCACAAAGCCTTATGAAGTAGGTATTATTATTTATTTCCATTTTAAGTATGAAGAAACTGAGGCATAGAGAAGCACCTTGCCCAAGGTAACGAAGCTAATAGGCTGTAGAGCCAAGATTAGAGCTCAGCAAATCTGGCACTGGAGCCCACATTCTTAACCCCTAAATTGGCTGCCTCACAAAAAGTCATACCAATTTATATTGCCACCATTAGTAAATACAAATGCCATACTCCATTTTGGAACACTTCTACTTTTTAATTAACACATCCTTATAGATTTAAAACTTATCTTTCCCACCTTAAAATTAAGATTGAGAGTTGAAGTGGAGGCCTAACTATTCTTTAATACCTTCTTTCTCCTCATTTTCACAGTCGGAGAAATGGGAGTAGAGATGTGGGCTTAACAGCTGTTTCAGCATGAAGTGAACATAATAGAATACTTCGTGCCTATAAACTTGGACTTTGAAATGTCATTGCCCATTTTTATTCCTACAAAGTGTGCAAAATAATAAGAGATACCATTTATTGGGCACTTATTATGTACCAACCATTGTGCTTAGGTACTCTGTGGGCACTGAGTCATTTGATCAACAGATGGGTATCTGTATTAGTCCGTTCTTGCATTGCTATTTTAAAAAGCCTGAGACTGGGTAATTTATAAAGAAAAGAAGTTTAACTGGCTCACAGGTCTGCAGGCTGTACAGGAAACATGGCAGCATCTGCTTCTGAAAAAGCCTCAGGAAGCTTTAACTCATAGCAGGAGGCAAAGCAGGATCAGGCACTTCACATGGTGAAAGCAGAAGCCAGAGAGTGAGAACAACCAGATTGCTGGAGAACTCACTATCATGAGGAAAGCACACAAGGGCATGGTGCTAAACCATGAACCAGAAAGCCGCCCCCATGATCCAATCACCTCCCAGGAGGCCTTACCTCCAGCATTAGGAATTACATTTCAATATGAGATTTGGGTGGGGATACACATAAACTCCACTCCCAGCTTACCTAACAGATAAAAAATAAATAAGTGACCTTACAAATATGACTCAGGCCAAAATCAGAGACAGCAGAATTTTTAAAGAGTCTCAGGCTGGGCATGGTGGTTCAGGTCTATATCCTAGCATTTTGGGAGGCCAAGGTGGGAGAATGGCTTGAGGCCAGGAGGTTGAGAACAGTCTAGGAAACAAAGTGAGAATCTGTTTCTAAAATAATAGAATAAAAAATAGCCAGTCATAGTGACACGTACCTGTAGTCCCAGCTACTCAGGAAGCTGAAGTGGGAGGATCTCCCGATTCCAGAAATTTGAGGCTGCAGTGAGCTATTATGATTGGACCACTGCACTCCAACCTGGAGAACAGAATGAAATACTGTCTCTAAAAGTAATTAACTAATAAGATAATAAAAAATAATTTTGTTCTTGGATCTTAATTTAACTTCAGTTTAGAATCAGTGGGGGTATTTGATCTTTTGCCAGAACGAATTATCAATCTGGTGAGGCAGAATGTTCATTTCAATGATGGAAGAGGTGACAGTAGCCCCCGACACAGTGCTACCTACCAAGGAGCATTAGGGTGCACAGCGCCATGTATCTGCATAAGGCTGGCCAAGACAATTTGGGAGCTCTTTTCATTGCAAATGTACGTTTTGCTCTGGCTGCTTTGCTAACTTCTAGTGTCAAAATATTGTCATTGATGGATGAGATTCAGAGAACATTAAGGATGATAAAAAGAGTTAATCAGGCAAAGAAATCTGAAAGTCAAGGAAAACCAATAATCTTAAAGACCATTTGTTGCTTAGAGTAGACTCTATAAACAGGAATAAAAGACTGCAGAATAAACAATTTATTTTCTAGTGAGACTGGATTTGTTCACCAAATGGCTGTACTGTTTCTGTTACAAGTAGGAGATATGTAGGACACTTGTTTTGAGATAACCTCACCAGCTGACTTTCCTACTTTTTCATCATTGTTAAAAATCAGATTTTCCAATGACAGTCCTTTACAGATTTTTAAAAAACACTATATTCAGAAAATAGTTTTGATCTTATTACCCAAAAATTCTTGTACAAGAATACTGCTGGTATCAAGCCAGATGTATTTGGAAAGCTTTGAAAACCCATGCAGGAAAGCACATAGTCTCTGTAACCGCACAGCTGGTGGTGGCCCCTTCTTCAGCTGTCCTACTGGGAAACCCAGGTGGAGCGCAAGTGCAACCCAGGTGAGTACAGGGTGAAGCTGGGATAAGAGCAGATGTGGCTTTAAGTTCAGGCTGAATCCTCTTTGGGGTATCATTGATCTTTCTTCACAAAGCTGCCCCACCTTCTTGGAACCAAAAAAAAAGAGCTACTGGGTTACCAGAAAACTCCCAGTTGACCTAAAGTTACCCAATTCTCCTTTCATAGTACAAATTCTTTCCCTAGCCCCATTTTCAGAGCATATACAGAATTTCTCAGTTCCATACGGCAGCCTGCAATCAAACCTGGTAATGTGTCCTAAATACCTTAAAAACATATTGAGAAATCTATTCAAATGGGAAAGGTCCACAAACAACATTAGATACTATCAACAAGGCCCTTGGACCTCATAAGGCTATTATTGAGAAAACTAACTCCCTGGACTCTACTGAAGCAGGACAGTGGTTCCCATTCAGAGGCAGAGTGGCCCGAGACCCTTTCCACCTGCTAGCCCTGCAAAGATGGTTATTCCTGAATCAGGGAACATTTTAGATCCAGCCACAGAAAACTAGCTTAGCAGTAAGCTCTGGATGCAAGATTTGGATGTGCCAATTAGAGCTGTGTGGACTTAGGATAAATTCTCTAACCTTTGAGTCAGGGATTAGGATAGTCTGCACTATTAGGAATGTCATGAGAATTAAACGAGAGACCATCCGTGGAGTGCTTAACCTGCTGCTTGTCTCTCAGTAAGCACAAGGTGAATAGAGGAATCATCCAGACATCCCATGCTTCAATTTAAGACCACAGTAGCCTCCATGTTGACATTTACTCTGGTTCTAGGTTGTCAGCTAAAATCCAGGGGAGGGGGAAGATCCTTCAAACTCTAGGCCCAAGAATGTCCCATTGCAAATAGTTGTAGCACCACTGTAAAGACTGAGAAGGGATTTTGAATTCAGACCTGAATGGGAATCACTTCTCCTTCACTAATTGTTGTCTTAGGTGAACATGGCCAGTTCAACCTTTTAACTTGTTTGCTTATTTATACAAGGAGGATAATACCTAATTAAGGGGTTGAAAGGTTTACCATGTAAAGTCCTTAGCACAATAGCTACCATATCATAGGAGATCAGTTCATAACTACTGAATCCAGCTGAAAAAGTGCTAAATAACTGCAGTCTTTTTTGTATATAGAAACAAGCAAGTAAGTTAAAACTGGGACCAAAAGATAAACTTGGATCAGATAATTTTCGAACACCGATGAATACACACATTCTGCCTTTAATAAGGTAAATGTTCCAACAAGCCTATTAAGCTATCGCTCACAGTTCATCTACTTCACCTATTCAGATTTCTTACCCTATTCATAAGAATTGTGCCAGGTAAGGTGCACATTACTTAAAATCATTAATTTTACACTAAATTAACTTCCTCCAATAAGGTAGAAAAAACCAACTTTTTGATAACCTATAGAATACTGCTATGTTGTGTGTACTTTCTTCTCTCCCCACATTTTTTTTCCTCTAAATTTAGAAAACAGGATTACGACAAAAGCTAAGCACGACAGGGAAGCAGTAAGTGTCAGAGGAAGAAACTGAATGCAGGTGTGTCTGAGCTAGGCTACCTGTGTTTTTGCCCTTTCTGTTTGCTGTGAACTTTCAGTTTCTCAGGATTACTCAAGAGCATGCTTTCTAAAGAGGATTCTCAGGAAGCCACTGTTGAACTAATAAAGGCCATTTACTGCCATTCGAAGGGAATAACAGGTTTAGTCCGTGATGAGTTTCAAATTAGGTTATCAATTTGCTTTTCCAGTGGTGATGAAAAAGCAAAATTCATTCCAATACAGTGACTACTCTCTGCTTGAAACGCTCCAGGTAGTTACTTTTTGAATTATGATTCACCTTCCTTTTCCTGTTTTGATGAACATGAACATGAGACTGAACCATCCCGGTCAGTAAAAAGGTCGCGTTTCCACCCCGCAAATTCGCTCTATAATGACAGTCTAATTGGCTAAAGCGCAGGTGGGATTTCCTGTCGCCATTTTAAGAAGACACAACTCCTATGCAAAGAAATGCCCAGCCAGTGAAAGGGGGCTGTGTCTGAAACAAAGAGTAAGCGGGGAAAAAAAGGGAACCAGGCCCAGTTCCCCCCGCTCCCCTCCATCCCGCTCCCTTGTTCCCCGGACTTGAAGTGCCCCAGCTCCGTTAACCTGGACGCGCCAGGTCCTTCGGGCGGAACCAAGTGGGGTCACCAGGCCCTCCAAGACCTAGCCCCCTCCTCTTCGCGCCTAGACAGGTGCTCTCTCGGCGCTCAACAAATCCTCCTAGTCGCTTCACACTCAGTCCCCAAAGCAGAGCTCCACAGGGCAGACCTCAGGGAGGGCTCGCCAGGTCTGCGGGTGCTGGAACCGGAAGGGGGGGGTGCCTCCCTTTCAGGTTAGGGACAAAGGGTTTCCAAAGGTGCCCGAGCTCCGGGCTCCCCCTGCCACTTCGGTCCCCTTCCCGCCAACCCCTGCCATCTGCGGGCCGTCCCCAGCGCCAACCCTCCGCTCCAACGCTACGCGTAGTCCCGGGCGCTGCCGGTGGCTCTCGGGGCTGCGCTCGGACCCTCCACTTTGGCGGCCATCCTCCTGCAGCTCCCCTTCCCACAATGCAACTCCCTCGCTCCTTCGGCCCCGGCGGGGCTCTGGAGTACCCAAAACGCAGGCCCCAGCCTAACGCACAGCCATCCTGTCCTCCACCAGTGTCCCTTTAGAGGCCGCACCCCTATCCCTAAGGGCTCGCATTTTCCAGCTGCCGCCACAGCTGGGTTCCGAGCACGCCGCCGGGCCCTAGGAGGGCGAGGGCAGGCGCCAGGCAGCGCGCAGCGTCCTCTCCCAGTGCCACCTTCCGTGCGCCCGGCACACGCGCGCCCCGCAACCCCTCCCTCACCCTTTCCCCGATGCTCAGTCTCCGCCAGCCGCGGTCGCTGCATCGTCAGGGAGCGGCGAGAGGGAGGCAGCAAGGCGCGGCCGCCAGCAGTGACACCATGTGACGGGTACGGCTCAGTGACACGCAGCTTTGGTTAAAGAGCGGGCGCACAGGAGGGGAGGAGACGGCGCGCGGGACGGGGAGGAATGGCCTGACTGTCCCTGTTCAACCATCACAAGCCATGGTTGCGGAAGGGCGACGTGCCCCCCAGTAGGAGAATGACTCCGATTCGTGACCCTCAGCGCCCGTGCTTGTCGCTGTAAGTGCGGGGCCAGAGAGTAGGGTGTGAGTGGGGGTTGCTGGTGAGGGGAGATTCTGATGCAATCGGCCCGGAAAGGAGGAGGAGAGCCTGGCGAGAGCGGACTGGAGCAGCCACGACACTCCGCCTGAAGGTCGCCAGGAGCCTCCGCCCTTCACCTTCCTCGGAAATCCGCCAGGCCACGCCAAACTCCCTGCCCAGCCTTTACCGACTGGGGCCACCGTTTCCCGGCCGCCGTCACCAGACCTTGACACAAAGGACATCAAACTGCTGAGGGTGAAAATCCCGGAAGGGCGGACACCTTCACATCGCCTTTCGCCACCTTTCCCCTTATTTCCGGAGGTAAGGTGCTTTTCAGTTCCTGGGGAGGGCTGGGCGAGCGGCGGGGGGATGTTGAGATGTGGCAGAAGGCGGTAACGTAGAAATCATCCCTGCAGGCGTGAAAGCAGAGAAAGCACGGCTGTGCCCGAAGCGTTTGGATGTTGCTTTTAGGAGAAGAAAAGTCCAGGTCCCCTGTGTTTCCTGAACGCACGCGGTAGCGCGAGGAAGCGCCAGGGTCCCTGAGTTCACCTTTGCGTGGGCTGTGGCTTACTTTTTGGTTTATTTTCCTCTGGCTTTGGTCTGTTTCCCCGTGGCTGTGGCAGCGTGTGGGACTAAATCTGGTTCAATTTTTGCAAGGGCCAGGAACGACGCAGGTCTGTAGCGAGAGCGCAGCTTACTCGAAGGCGCGACCGTGTTCTAGGAGTGTTTGAATCCCTAACCTTTGGGGGAAAAAATTCCTGTGTCTGCAAGGCCCAGAGGACAGTGTGTGATGTCCCAGGGGTGCTGCGTGCGGCCGGCTGGGTAGCCGCCGCGGAGCACCAGTAAACCGGAGCACGTTTGCCATCCCTCCTGGTGCTCTGCCCCTCTGTAACGCAGGGAAATAGGAGGGCGCGGGGAGAAATTACTAAGGCATGCTTGCAGTGACTCATTGTCCTTTCCTGCCCTGAAGAGGTTTTTTTCTAAAATGCAGAGCGTGGCAGCGGATAGGGGTAGTGTTTTTTTCCGAGAGCCGGAGTCTGCTGGAGCCAGCGAACAAAAGGCCACTTCTTGCGCGGGCTTGGTCTCAGACTGTGCTCGCTTCTAGTCCCACCTCCTCCCCAACCCCCGGCACCTAGCTAGCGTCCCTAAACATTGCCACAGAGGCCTTTAAACGCGTGGGTAGGTGTTGGGAGGAGAGCGCACCTTCGCCCTTGTGCGAGCTCCTCGCCCCCTAAATTATCTACCTCCCTGCGCAGGGGGCTCCTCAGCACCCACTGGGACCCTGCAGGTTACCGGGCTGCCTGGGCACCGAAATCCCTGCCAAATCGCCCGCCGGGGGTTTGTGCTGAACTGTAGTCAGAGAAGGCACAAGTGCATATGGCAGCAAAAGGAATTTCGCGGTATCCGCGTCACGCCGTTCCCAGTGCATTTCACAGGCTGCCTTGGTCTGGGGAAGGTGGTGCTACAATTGAGAGTCCTTTGTCTTGCTCTGCGGCGCGGACCCGGGGTTTTAACAACCCTCTTTTTCCGTTAGAAACCTAACTGCTGCCAGGATCACGTACTTTCTCAGAGGAATCCACGGTGATGTGTGTAGTAAAAGTGAAAAAAGACGCCTCTGCTAGAAAACGGTATTCATTTGCGTTTGGAAGGGGTTTTGACATCGCTGCCGTGGGTTTTTACATTTTTCAATATAAAGGGGAGGAGGAAAATAAATTTATGGTTTGCAGAATGCACGGCCCAGCGAGGGTGTAATTTGTCACCTTGATAAAAGAAACTGTGCAGCAACTCGTGCTTTTTCTGACGTCAGAAGGACAACGGAAATAAAACCTGAGCTCGGTTCATGGCTGGCCTCGTTGTCAAACATCTCATGCCCCTTTGGTACTCCCGAAATCTTGCAAAACAGTCAATTCCGGGGTACTGATCTGGCATAGACGCCGTGGATTTTGGTTTGACCCCAGCCTCAAAATAGCCTTCTCTTTAGAGTCACTTGAGTTCTCAGTATGTCGTAAGCAAATGGAAACCAGCCTAGTTTGGTTTGAGATCTTAATCTTGAGGTTTATTTGATTTTTTTAAAAAATGTAGCCAATAAATATTTTCTACAGAGGGTTTAGGGTATGACTGGCAGCTACTAATAAGATTTGTTTCGTCTTCTGTGAAGCTTCCGTTCTCGGGGAGAAATAGACTATATAAATGTAGGCATATAAATTTCAGGTATTCTTAGTGCAATGAAGAAATAAAACCGGATCATGTGATGGGGTGGGATGCCTGAAATAGAGTGACTCACCAGGAGGGCCAGTGTGAGGGGATAACATTTGTCCTGAGACCCGAATGGTGAAAAGGGATCAGCTATTTCCATAATTGAGGGAAGAAGGCCAGCAGAAGGAACAGGAAGAAGGAAAAACAAGTACTTACTGCACTCTTCTTTGACTGTAATATAATTGAGCTAATGTGATGAATAGATTTTAAAGATGTTTTGGATTCTTTAAAACTATATGTATGTTGTTTACATATTTTTTTACGATGCTCCGTGAATTAAGGCCATTTAATGAAAGGAGCACCATGCTTAGGAGGTCTGACATCTGGCTGTTGCTACTATCTTCTTTACTCTGGGTGATGCCTGAGGACAAAAACTGATTTTACTCATTGTTCCCCTAATCGAGCACATAGTAGCTGCTTAATAAATACTTGTTGGATTGAGAACTTGGTCAAGCCATTTTGTTTATCTCTTTATGCTATTATTGACCATCCCTTCCTTTCTATATCTCATCTGTTCCCTTCTCCTAAGTTTGACATGCTAGAGTCTTTTTCTTCTCTGCTTCTCCCTTCTCTTACTGCCTTCCCCACTTTGAGCAGTGACCAGGCCCTTGCAAATACCCCTCACACTTGTCCTCTTGTCTCCATTTCTGCTGCCCAAGTTCAAGTCCCTGTCACCTGACCTAGATTTGTAGACATAGGAAACAGATATAGAGGTGCCTTGAACAATCTAGGGGCAGTGGGGGTGGGCAATGGAGAAAGATGCAAGCACAACGCATGGTTAACAGTGAAACAGCCAGTTACTGAGGTGGAGCTGCATCCCTGTTGGTCTCTTTCATACCAAGTTGTGCTCCCCTAATTCAATCTCCCTTTCATGAGATTTATATTTCTAACATTCAGTCACATTTTGTTAAAGGATCTTGCTTCTAAAAACCTCTGTGGGTTTCCATTGCACACAAGGTCTAAATTCTTAGCCATACACTTGGGAACCTTCACAATCTGCCTCCTCACCTCTTTCCAACTTTTTTTTTTCCCATTTATTTATTTTATTGCATTTTAGGTTTTGGGGTACATATGAAGAACATGCAAAATTGTTGCATAGGTACACACGTGGCAGTGTGATTTGCTGCCTTCCTCCCCATCACCTACATCTGGCATTTCTCGCCTTGCTATCTCTCCCCAGCTCCCCAC